ATTGGTCATGGCCAGGGTACCACAGTATTTTATGTCATGGCTTCTGTGAGACCAGAATACAACGATAAGATTCGAGGTCATTATAGTTTAGCACCCACTGCTTATATGAATCATATGACCAGTCCACTATTAAGACTTTTGGCAGTGGCTGATGGAGGTCTGAGGGTGAGGAACATAACCAAATATATCCTCACATTTAATTACTTATTCTATGTTTATAGTTCATATTTGATTTGATAGAAATGTACGAGTTCCTTCCAAGCAAGGGTTTTCTAACTATGGTTGCTAAAAAGTCTTGTGGGCATGCCATATTTCAGCCTTTGTGTACCAACGCTCTTTTTGCACTTTGTGGTTTCAATAACAAACAATTCAATGCTACCTTATTGCCCATCGTTATGGGCCACACTCCTGCTGGATCGTCCCTAAGACAAGTTTTACATTACGCTCAACTTGTGAATAGCGGTAGGTTAAGTATTTCTTTTAAGGATGATAGGATATATATTTATGTATTAAATTTTTATTAGGTAAATTCCGCCAATACGACTTTGGTTTGTTTGGAAATCATAAGAAATATGGACGTCTAACACCTTCAAATTATAACCTTAAGAAGATCACCGCTGCTGTTTATCTTTTTTACAGCCACAATGACTGGCTTGCATCGGAAACTGATGTAAGGAAGCTGAAACAACAATTGGTTAATACTCAAATTAGTAAGCTGGTATTAAATACCAATAATCAATTTAATCATCTGGACTATCTTTATGGAATTGATGCAAAAACTCTTGTTTATGACAAGGTTTTCGAGGTAATGTTACTTCACTAAAAGTTTTACATATTATAACTCTCACAGAACCCAAATATATTTCAAATTTGATTAAAATTTTGATAACCTTTGCTCCTAAATATAATCTTTATACAGTTTTGAGGTAAATTTTGATTGAATTTGTAAGCTTAGTTCTTGAGCATGTTCTGGACAGTCTCGTAGACGTTCTTGACGTTCTTGCCGAAGAGCAAGTCCATGTTGTTCTTGGTCTGCTGCATCTCAATATCACGCACGACCTGGGGCAGTTTCTGCTTAAGGTACTGCACATTCTCCTTGGTGGAGATCTTATCCTGAGCGGAGTAGACGAGGTACATGGGAGTGGAGATCTTCTCAAGGGCGTACTCCTCGGTCTGATCGCCCTGTTGACCGGTCTGCTTGTTCTGCTGACCTTGCTGTTGGTTGAGCTGCTTCAGGTCATCGGAGAACTTCTCAAAGCGACCAGATTTGTAGATCTGGGCGTAGTGGAGGACCTGACGGGTGGAGGCACCAGCGGGAAGACGCTGGGCGTAACGTTCAGCGGTGGTCATGTTCATCTGGTCAGATTCGTAACCGTTGATCAAGAAGAAGGGGTTCTGGCAGATGCGTTCGTTAACACCACGGGCGACGCAGGAATCTTGACCGGCAACAGACATGAACTCGTTGGTAGGGTGGAATTCGTTTTGACCAAGGTTCTTCAACAACCACTAAAACCACAAAAGATGTAGTTGATTATTATCTGCATATTATATTTGTAGTGATGATTTCTTACGGGTTTGGACTGAATGTGTTCAGCAATGGTCTTGTACATCTCGTTGGAGGCGTCCTTCATGTAAGCCATGGGTCC